GTTTGATTCCCCCCAACAGGACACACATGCTCAGACTGGCATGCCGCTGCCCTGCCCGCACCATCGCCCGCAGCGAAGAAAGGGGAGACTAGAACGGGGCGGGAGAAGATGCAGCACAATGTGACCTCAGCTACGAAATAAACGTGAGGTTCACACATCACAGGGAGAAAGGAGTGGGAGAGAGAGACAGAGGAGAAGTGGGTAAGGGAAACGGGGAGGGGAAGACGCAGAAGGGAGGCATCGGAGGGGAGCTGCCATCTCCAACACGCTGCAAAATCACCCTCTAGCCCTCATTTCTTTTCTTTTTTTTAAATGTATTTTTTATTGATGTCAGAGAGGAAGGGAGAGGGAGAGACAGAAACATCAATGATGAGAAAGAATCATGGACCGGCTGCCTCGCGCCCTACTGGGGATTGAGCTCACAACCCGGGCATGTGCCCTGACGGGAAATTGAACCCAGGACCCTTCAGTTCACAGGCTGAGGCTCTATCCACTGAGCCAAACCAGCCAGGGCAGCCCCCGTTTCTTAAAACTCCAACTTCAACACCCAGGCTCACTCCCAGGAGTCTGGGCCCCAGCAGTGCTTCCCTAGTCCAGGCCCCGCCCTCGGCCTGGCCTCTGAATTCATCCCGAGACCTGGCCTGTCAGTGATGTCATATCCCACCCGCCGGTCTGACAAAGTCTGTCACTAACGTGACTGCAGCTACAGAAAAGCCGTTTTCCTTGAGCTCCCCCAGCCAGCCAGTCCAGGCAGTGCCTCCTCTACCTCCACAGCCTCTCTTACACCCGGCGTGGCTCAGGGGCTGAGCACTGACCTATGAACCAGGAGGTCACGGTTCGATTCCCGGTCAGGGCACGTGCCCGGATTGACCAATGATTCTCTCTCATCACTGACCTTTCTGTCTCTCTTCCTCTCCCTTCCTCTCTGAAATCAATAAAAAAAATATTAAAAACCTGTTCCAACTCAGTGATTATGTTAGAAAGGACACTATCAACTACTTTATACTACAGTATTATGATTAGTGACCTCACTAAGAGGGGAGAGCACTTAACCCCCCAAAATGAATAATGTGGAATTTCAGATACCATCCCCCGTGGGTGGGGCTGCCGGTGTCCCGGGCACCCCTCCCCGCTCCTCACCCTCCATGGCTCTCCTCCTACTTCTGCAAGAGGGGCCGGGTGGCACTCAGCTGGGGCCAGGACGTCTAGCGGACACGTGCGTAACGGCCGGTCATTCTGGAAGGGGGCAGCTGGCTAGCGAGCTTGGGGTTTTAGAAAAGCACTGGTGGGGCCCCAGCCGGTGTGGCTCAGTGGACAGACCGTCAGCCTGCGGACGGAAGGGTCCCAGGTTCGATTCTGGTCAAGGGCGCATGCCCGGGTTGTGGGCTCGATCCCCTTTGGGGGTCAGGAGACACCGGGTCAATGATTCTCTCTCATCATGGATGTTTCTCTCTCTCCCTCTCCCTTCCTCTCTGAAACCAATAACAATATTTTTAAAAAAGCAAATATATTTTGGGATCCGTGAAGCCGAGCTCTCTGACTGGCCCTGGACGGGACCACAGCACTAAATCCTTCGGCCAACGCGCTTCAGGCCGGCATTTCGGATGAAAGGACTCCTCCCTGAACCTAATGTCGGGAGACACATCTGGTCCTTTCACTGCTCACGCCCTTCGCTCAGATCCCGGCTGCGCAGCGCCAATTCTGGGGCAGTAACAACAGCAGAGCCCAGGTCCTTTCAGGCCACCCACGTAGCTTCCAACCCACAGGAGCGCACCCCTCCTTTTCCCCTTTGATTTAAAAAAAGGTGGGGGGAGGAAAGAAGAGTGCTTAGCCAAAGAGCAAAAAAGAGGGGAGGGGGGAAGAGCTGGCGTGGCTCAGTGGCTGAGCGTCGACCTATGAACCAGGAGGTCACAGCTCAATTCCTGGTCAGGGCACCTGCTCGGGCTGTGGGCTCGATCCCCAGTGGGGGGCGTGCAGGAGGCAGCCAGTCAATGATTCCCTCTCATCACTGATGTTTCTATCTCTTTCCCCGTCTCCCTTCCCCTCTGAACTCAACAAAATTATATTAAAAAAAGAGAGAGAGAAAGAGAGAGAGAGAAAGAGAGAGAGAGAGAGAGAGAGAGAGAGAGAGAGAGAGAGAAGAGGAGAGGAGAGGAGAGGAGAGGAGAGAGGGGACGATGGCAGCCCGGCCCTCAGGACTCACCACTTGCTTCTGCTTGAGGGGCTTGACACAGAAGGTCCCGTCCGTGTGCTGCAAGGAGAACAGGGCGGTGATGACCAGGGCGCAGGCCAGGCAGCCCCGTGTTCACTGCGACTCCTCTCAGCTGCACGTGGCCTGGGGGCCCCGCCGTGGGGACTGCAGGCTCCCAGGGCGGGCAGGGCCTTTCCAGGTCTGGTCTGACCCTTCCCTTTGGGGGAGAGGAAAGGAGGCCTCGGGGTGGAAGGTCGGGCACAGGTTGGTGGCAGAGCTGGAGCTCGGCCCCGCGCAGCCCCCAGTGTGGTGACCCCCCACCCCCACCCCAGCACCAGCCTCTTGGGCCAGCGCCACCTGCTGAGCTCAGGCAGCCGGGACCAGGCTGCCCGTCCTCCCGGGATAGCTGAACCTGTGAGGGAGGCCCCGGAAAGCCACTCACTCACCTTCTCGAAAGTGCCCAGCAGCACGTGGCAGTGGCCGAAATACTCTGGAAGGAACGAAGGCACAGGATGGAGAAGGAAACCAAGCGACACACCCGCCGCCGCCGGTCGGCCCTCCCCGACTCCCCGCGGCTCGTGCCATCATGATGGGCGCGTCATGGAACCCGGTGCACCTGTCAGCCTCGGGCCTCGGGAACAGGAGTGGGGGAGGGAGGTGCAGACACTGCCTGACACCCACGGCGGCCTTGGGCCCCCCACGGGCAGTGTGTCGGCAAAAGAAGACACAGGGTGTCCATACCGTCTCCTTCGTCCACCACGGCATGGACCACCAGCGGGTAGACCTCTCGGTCCAGATCGAAGCCGAGCTGGCAGGAAAGCAGAGGGAGGAGGGACAAAGGAAGCTCATGTTGCCATGGCGCAGGGCCCGTCGGAAAGGCGGGCGTGGCCAAGGACCGCATCTCTGCCCTCTGGCGGGGTGAGCACCGACCTAGGAACCAGCAGGTCACGGCTCGATTCCAGGTCGGGGCACACGCCCAGGTTGTGGGCTGGATCCCCAGTGGGGAGCGTGCAGGAGGCAGCCAATCAATGATTCTCTCTCATCATTGATGTTTCTATCTCTCTCTCCCTCTCTGAAATCAGTCAATCAATCTATCAATCTATCTATCTATCTATCTATCTATCTATCTATCTATCTATCTATCATATAGGCTCCCAGCGTGGGTAGGGCCTTTTTAGATTCTATATGAATCTAAATATAGATTCTACATGAATACACACACACACACACACACACACACACACACATTTTAAACGAACCTCCTCTCTGCTCCTCCACAACTTCGTCACTACCCATGTCCCGTTGAGGGACGGCCGCCAGTTTCTCTTTAAAATCTCCTGGAGGCACAGGCGTGTAGCCTCCCGGCTCTTTTCTCTGAGCTCGGGTTTCTTGAAATGCCCCGGGCTAGCGGGCTAGTTTGGAAGAGGAAAGTTTCGAGGTTGGGCGCATCCTTTCGGGTGTGAAGGCGTTACAAAGCGAAGGTGAGCATGACCTCTGAGCGCCTGGCAGGCAGTCCCTTTGCTGCTGGCCGTGGTCCTAAGGAGCTCCCGAGCTCCCGGGCCCATCCAGGCCCCATGGGGAACCTGCCCGCGTCCTCTCCCCCCAGGGCGGCTCACCTCCTCTTCGGCCCACTCGGAGGGGTCCACGGTGTGGGAGGGCAGGCAGAACTGCTGGCACACCCCGCGCTTGTAGTGCACCGTCTCCGACTGCAGGCTGTTGTCTTTGGGGATGTAGCTATCGATCCAAGTCGGGAGCAAAGCAAGAGTCAGTGTGTGGCCCAGGCGGCCCTGCCATTTCCTCCCTCACGCCTGCTCTCAGTCACCCACGGGCGCCGGAATGAAACCGACGGACCAGATCTGTCACCTACGTCCTCGGCTTGGCTGGGGAATGCGATTAAACTCGTCTATGCAGCCACCGGCCACCAGGGTCACTTCACAGGGTTCCAACAGCATCTTAAGGACCTGGAGGCCCCGCTGCCACCTGCCACGGCAGCCACATGGCACAACTTAAAGGGAAACGGGCAGAAGTGGGGTCTCTATGCCCAGCCAGCGTGGCCCAGTGGGTGAGCATCAGTCTATGGACCAGGAGGTCATGGTCCGATTCCCAGTCAGGCAGGGCACACGTCGGGGTTGTACCTCGATCCCCAATAGCGGACAAGCAGGAAGCAGCCGATTAATGATTCTCTCTCATCAGTGATGTTTCTATCTCTCTCTCCCTTTCCTTCCTCTCCAAAAAATATTTTTTTTAAAAAAAACAAGTAGTGCCCAGCCCGTTTGGCTCAGTGGATAAGAGCGTTGGCCTATAGACTGAAGGGTCCCAGGTTTGATTCCGGCCAAGGGCACATGCCTAGGTTGTGGGCTCGATCCCCAGTAGGGGGCGTGCAGGAGGCAGCTGATCAGTGATCCTCTCTCATCATTGAAGTTTCTATCTCTATCCCTCTCCCTTCCTCTCTAAAAATCAATTAAAAAATATATATATATTTTTTTTAAAAAGAAGTAGGGTCTGCAGGAGAAAGTCCACGTTCAAGAGCCAGATCTCGCCTGGTGAGCGCATGAGGCATGGGACCTGAGCTGGCCGGGGAGAAGGCGGCTCCCCGTCCCGTCGTACCTGGCGATGCCGTTCTGGAACTCCTCGGTGGCCTGGTAGTAGATGGTGATGGCCACGCGGGCGTCGGTGTCGAAGGTGAACTCCACGTTGTAGTGGACTTTAGCTCTGCCGGCCTCGGCCCCGGGGGTCTTCACCTCCTCGGTGCACCTACAAGCACCAACCTCAGCGTTTGGCGGGCAGCAACCAGCATTTACACTGTATCCCTTTTTCAAAACCTTAACATACTGTGGGCTGCGCTCCGGTCCTCAGCCTGCCCCCCGCCCTCCTGGGGGTGACGGTCGAGGACATCACTGCCGCAGGCCGGGTGGGCAGTATGGCTGATACTTCACGGCGCGACAGCCAGCGTCCTTGCGCCTTTGCCCGACTTCATTTATGTTTACTTTTCATCGGAATCGAAGGTTCTAGTCACATAGTTGACATGGTTTCCACTCCCCGTTCCGCCTCTTCAAACCTATCTTTCCCCCAGGGAGCCCGAGCCTTAGCAGAGGCAGCATCTGCTTAAAACCGACCCTGAAGCCCTCGCCGGTGTGGCTCAGTGGATAGAGCATCAGCCTGTGGACTGAAGGGTCTGATTCCGGTCAAGGGCACAGGCCCAGGATGCCCAGTAGGGGACGTGCAGGAGGCAGCCGATCCATGATTCTCTCTCATCATTGATGTTTCTATCTCTCTCTCCCTCTCCCTTCTGCTCTGAAATCAATAAAAATATATTTTTAAAAAACACAAAATGACTGACACTGTCTCAGGGACAGCACAGAGAAGGCATTTCAGGGACAATTGATAACGATGATGGGCTGGAAGCAGCCGGCCCTGGGCACTCTGAGTGTCTGGGCGTATGAGGCTAAGAATAAATTTAAAAGTAAATATAATCCGTGAATAAGGACTTCTTATTCCAAGTCCAGATAGCTCCTCTTTCCACAGGCTTGTGGAGGCCTCTGCGAGATTCACTTTCTCTCCCAGGAATTCTCCTTTTAAAAGAAATTCAGCCACATGGCCGCTGCCAGGGAAGGGGCCGTGCCCGCCCTCCCGGACGACGAGGTGAAGCCCAACAGTCTCCACGCGGAGCCCGTCCTCAGCGGGCGCGGCCAGGCTCTGGGGCCGGCACCCCGCTCCGCGCGGCTCTGCGGGGCGGGCTGCAGAGGAGGCTCCGGGAGAAGACAGCGGTGAGTGAAGACCCCTGGCCGCCCTCCCTGGCACGGGCCTCCCCGCCTGGCCAGGTGAGGGGGCAGGCCCAGGCCCGAACTCCGGGAGGACACGGAGAGCCGCCACGGCGCGTGGACTTGCTCCCGGTCACAGCCGGTAGAACCGGGATTCGATTGGGCGTCAGAAGAGTGAGACTCGCCCAGCTGGGGTGGCTCAGGGGTTGATCATCGACCTATGAACCAGGAGGTTGAGGTTCGATTCCAGGGGAGGGCACAGGCCCAGGTTGTGGGCTCATCCCCAGTAGGGGGCGTGCAGGAGGCAGCGGATCCATGATTATCATTATTGATGTTTCTATCTCTCTCCTCCTCTCCCTTCCTCTCTGAAATCAATAATAAAACTATTTTTTTAAAAAAGAGAGATTTGGCTGCTTTTCCCATTCCATGAAGCTCACCTGAGTCAGCGTTCACAACGTGGATCACTAACAAGAACGCCCGCAAGTACCAAACGCAGTCGCAACCACCAAAGGACACACACACACATACACACACACACGCGCGCACACACACACACACACACACACACACACGCCCCTCTACTGCATTCATCCCAAAGGTTTTTCCCTCTGAGCTGGGGCGACAGGGCACCAGGCCCGCAGGTGCTCCGCTCAGAGGCCACGCGGCGCCTCGGGACCGTGGGAACAGAGAGCGAGGGAGAAGCCGGCCGCCTGCGCAGGGCCCGGTCCTCCGTTCACGGCCCATCAGAGGCAGCAGAGGCCTCTGGGACGAGCGCCAGGGGCTCTCCCGGGGCCTTCGCGGTCCCTGGCTGCCCGGGTTTACCGTACACTCTCCCTCAAGGAGCAGATGAGAGGAGACACAGTAACACAGTGAGCTGGGAACTGCCTTCAGAAGATGCATTCTCCAATGCGCCCCGTACGGTGCCGATGCTTTGTGGACAATGAACGATTTTTGCATCTGATTCACAGAAAACCTACTAGGCCAGCGGTTCTCAACCTGTGGGTCACGACCCCTCTAACCCTTCTGGCGGTCGAACGACCCTTTCACAGGGGTCGCCTAAGACCGTCCTGCACATCAGATAGTTACATGATGATTCATAGCAGTAGCAACATGACAGTTATGAAGTAGCAACGAAAATAATTTTATGGTTGGGCCACATCATGAGGAGCTGTATTTAAAGGGCCAGAAGGTGGAGGACCACTGTCCTAGACGGTGTAGCCCTGCCCCAGCGTGGCGCTCCGGAGACAGCCTCACTCCCTCTTGCAGCGGCTTCGGGGAGCGGGGCCCACCGTCCACTCCGCCGGGGCCTCCACGGGGTTCTGCTGACGATGGTTCTTTCACTCAGAAAACACGGCCGACAGCACCTAGTTTTATGGATTCGATCTGATTGCTGATAATTCACATGCGTGCCCATGGCCCTTGAGAAAACACAGTCAATCTAAGCTGTCACATGTGTATCCAACTACCCTCTGTGGGAACCGAGGAGCAACATTTACTTCCTTCATTGATACATTAAACACGCATCCTTTTAAACCTGCCAGTAGGTTTTTCTACTTACAAAGCAACACATGTAGGGTGCCCCCCCAAAACGTATACGCACTTTGAATAATTATTCATTCCAATGGGCTAAATCTGAAAAGAAACATCAATTGAGCTATCAGAAAAAAGGGTGTCTACATTTTTTTGGGGGGGTCACCCCGTATTCAAGCAGAAAAGTTGAAAAACACACAAAAAAGTACAAAATCCGCTGTCATTTCACCTCTCAGCGATTTAGACCGAAGCTGACACGGCGGGGTCTTCCCCGTGAGGCATCAGTCCGTCCAGGCCCGGCCCGCCCACCTGCCTCGGTATCTCCGCGCCGTCTCAAGCTGCACACACGACTTTAAAGCCTCTTTTCCACGTAGAACAACGTGGCGGACACTGGTAAAGCCGTGATCGGACGTGGCCTCGCACGGCAGCGATAGAGGCACCGCTCGCTGGAATCAACCCCATATTCCCCCCTGGTTTCTGCTGGTTTCGCCTCGTGTGTGTTTGTGTTTTATTTTTCTGATATAAACGTGGTGAGTGCCTGGGTCCTGCATTTCTGCATGCTCGTTTGATTCCTTCCTTAGGACAAATTCCTAGGCCTGGAATTTCTGGATCAAAGAGTAAGCATACATTTTACGAATATGTTTGCCAAACTGTTCTCCAGAAAGCGGGTTCTGGTTTCCTCTCCAGAGGCTTTTATCCGGGGAAGCTGGAAACGCCGTCAGCCCCGGCTGTGGCCCACTTCTCTCCACCGCCCCCCCCCTTCCACCAAAGGAATTTAAAACAATTTTCAAATACGCTTAAGCAAAAAGGAATTAGGGCAGCAAAATCCGACACAAATGCTAGTCTATAGTAAAGCCAAAATAAACGACTTTGGGATTAAAATAGTTTTCTGGAGCAGCACGTGAATCATATACATTTGCACAGGCACGGGGAGTGAGCCCTAACTCCTCCCGAGGGTAAAAAAATAAAGACCAGTCCTTCCTTCCCTTTGCCCTTTCTCCTCCACACCCTCCAAAAAAATAAAAACAACAGAAAAGGGGGGGAAATCCAACAAAGGCCTTGTGATCTTTGTCTTCCAGTTAGAATGTTACCCGAGCCTCAGTTCTCTGTCACAAGGTGCAGACGCATGTCATTCTGTGTCCGCCAGTCTTTGCCTGGAGCCTGCCTTCGTTATAAAAGTGAGACGGCCCAGCTGGCGTGGCTCAGGGGTCGAGCACTGACCTACGAACCAGGAGGTCACCGTCTGATTCCCCGTCAGGGCACACGCCCGGGTTTTCGTCTGGGTCCCCAGTAGGGGGCATGTGGGAGGCAGTCGATTGATGACTCTCTTTCATTTTGATGTTTCTCTCTCCCTTCCTCTCTCTGTAATCAATAAAAAAATTGTTTTAAAAAAAGAAGGAAGTGAGACTCTGGGGGCTTGCCGAGAGGGCATATTCTTTCCACACAGCGTCAGGCGTAAATACGGCAAAGGATGTTGTATCTGAAATGAGCCCAAATCTCAGAGTAATTTGAATCCCACAGGCCTCAGGCCCAGGATGGGAGTATATACAGCGGGGGTTCAGCCAGGTGAGCGCATTCAAAGCCCCCCCCCACCCCGGGGGGGTTGCCAATCAAGACTCAGTAATTCTGAGCCGGCTTCCCTTTGACCTTTAACGTGGTGTTCATCAGTTTCCTTTCCTTCACGTTGGCCTCACGTCAGCAAAGTGCCCCCTGGTGACCAAATGTGGAACTGCTACTCTGTGTGTGTGTGTGTGTGTGTGTGTGTGTGTACACATACAATATGTATGTACCCTAGCATATCAACCATATCTCCCAGATATTTTTAAAGCCGTTCTAATTTCAACTACCCCTACAAATGCATTCACATTTTTGCTGTAGAAAATGTGGTCACAATGCATATGAAATGGCAGGATACCTGGTTTCAGTGGTAAATTACGGGGCAATTCCCAGGAGCCTCCAAAAAGGACATAGCCCATTCATAAAAATAAATAGCTTCGGCAAAAAGCCTTTTAAAAATTACATGATTTGCTAGCATTGCTCTTCGTCTCAGGCCCGATCGCGTGCAGCGCATGCCCGATGTGGCTCTGGGAGCACCTTCGAGCCGGTGCCCATCCTGTGGCCTCCCCCATCTTCTTAGTTTTCTTTTTTCTTTTTGGTTAATCCTCATTGAGGATATTTCCCACTGATTTTAGAGAAGGTGGAAGGGAGGGAGGGAGAGGGAGAGACAGAGAGAGGAACTTCGATGTGAGAGAGACACAGGTACTGGCTGCTTCCTGCATGTGTCCTGGCTGGAGCCAGGGATCGAGCCTGCAACCCAGGTGTCTGCCCTTGACGGGGGAGCAAACCCTAGACCAGCGGTTCTCAACCTGTGGGTCGCGACCCCTTTGGGGGTCAAACGACCCTTTCACAGGTTTCGCCTAAGATCATCGGAAAACACATATATAATTACATATTGTTTTTGTGATTCATCACTATGCTTTAATTATGTTCAATTTGTAACAATGAAAATACATCCTGCATATCAGATATTTACATGATGATTCATAACAGTAGCAAAATTACAGAAATGAAGTAGCAACAAAAATAATTTTATGGTTGGAGGTCACCACAACATGAGGAACTGCATTAAAGGGTCGCGGCATTAGGAAGGTTGAGAACCACTGCCCTAGACCCTTCGGTGTGCAGGCCGATGCTCCAACCACTGAGCAACACCAGCCAGGGCTGCACAAATACCGTCTTTACGTAGAAAACAGGAAGCCCCACATGCCAAAAATCTGATTCCAAAGAAAAAGAAAATTATTTTAGGCAATTTATAATTAAAGCAGAAAAGTGCTCATTTGGTAGGTTAGCAGGCGTGTACTATTTGTGGCAAAGAATCAAATGATAGTTACTATGGTGACCAACATCTGGAGTCATGTGAACACATCATTTACAGCCCCACATACACCCTTTCCTTGGCAGGTTTTAGGGCTTTTGTATTTAAATTTCAGTTCCTTCTATTTGATGCCTGGCTGTTTTCTCCGCTTTCTCTGCTTCCTCTCTTCTCAGAAGTGTAGTGTGTCCACAACTCAGCAGAGGGTATTTTTAGACTCACGCTGCCGTAGAGCGTTTGCTTAGATCAGTGTCAGGGGAGGGCAGTGTTGTCTCTGCTTGGATGCCGCAGAATGAATGCAAATTTGCCTGTTTAACCAGCTGCTGCCGGAGCAGGCGGCCTTGCGCCCGCGGCGGACCAGCACGTCAAAGGGCTCTATTTACAGCAGAAAAACCCCCTTTTCGCTAAGTTTCCATCCAGTCCTCCCGGAGTTCACCGCCACAGCAGGAAGGTGATCACAAAGCTGACAAGACACCCCATTCCCCAACCAGAGGCGGGAGGGGGACCCCAAGAGGATGTCGCAGGGTGACCTCAACACCGAGATGCTGAGAGACAGGTCTGGTTACCAGAGATCCGAGACGGCGGCCCCTTTAGAGCCCGTGACACCTCCGCTGGGTGCCCTGGCCGGACACAGGGCCGGTGTCATGGCTGTGACCTCACACCGAAGGCTGACCTTCCCAAAACATCTATCTATCTATCTATCTCTATGTATTTATTTATTTAAAGAATGTTTCCTGTTTCTTTCTTTTTCTTTTTTAAAATTGATTTCAAGGAGGAAGGGAGAGGGAGAGACAGAAACATCAACGATGACAGGGAATCATCAATCGGCTGCCTCCTGTACACCTCACCCTAGGGATGGAGCCCCCAACCAGGCATGTGCCCTGAATGGAACAACCCTTTCACAGGGGTCGCCTAAGACCATCCTGCATATCAGATATTTACATGACGATTCATATCAGTTGCAACATGACGGTGATGAAGTAGCAACGAAAATAATTTTATGGTTGAGTCACAACATGAGGAACTGTACTTAAAGGGCCAGAAGGTTGAGAACCACTGCACTAGACTCTGAGTACTGTTTTGATGACAAATGAAACGTACGCGACTTCCGGTTTCCTCACGGACAGGAAGCCCTCGCCAAGATGGGGACCCCTCCCAGCGGGACAACAACACCCCCCTCCCCCCACCCGTGCTTGTACAACAAAGGCCCTCCCCCGAGCGCTGTGTTCAGATACAAAGGATGTTGCCCAACACCCGCTCACTTCGAGCAGCGCCCAGAGGGACAGAGCGCTCTCCGCTCGGCAGACCAGTCATCATTTCCGCCCGGCGAGTTGGTAAATAATGACTAACGGCCAGAGACGCCACCCCTTTCAGACAAGCCCCCCATTCTAGACGCTTCTGGGCTGCATCTGGTCAGGAGACGCACCACCCAGCTCCCACACAGGAACCGCGTGTAAGAGACTGTCAGACGCCCGGCGCCGTGTGTAAAGAATATGCGCAGAGAGGCAGGCCCGTGTCAGCCAAACGATGCATTTAAAAGTAGACTGTGTACATTCCCCCCAAGAAGCATAGTAGGGCTACTGTATTCTCGACGGTGAATCCCAGGACAGGACACAAATACCCACGGTGTGTCGTGGTCAGCGTCCAGCCCCAAGGCTGAGTTACGTCACTGGGGTGCTCTCGTCCCGTGTCCCACCCCTGTCCCTTCCCTGCCTCCCACCTGAGCTCTCCGCCCCCCTCCACTCCTGTCGCCGACCCCTCTCGGCCCATCCCTGAGCCGCGTCCTCCAGTCCCCTCCCCCCCCAACCCCCGTTCCCTGCAGCGGCCTCGGAGCGGCTCTTCCTCCTGTTACTGATTGCCTGCCCGCTCCGAGAGCCTGGGCTTCAGATCATCTTGTTTTTATTTTTATTTTTTGAGAGAGAGCAGGGGGAGCGGGGAAAGAGAGAGGGGGAGAGAGGAACACTGATGAGAGAGAAACATCGATCAGCTGCCTCCTGCACACCCCTTACTAGGGATCAAGCCCACAATCTAGGCATGTGCCCTGACCGGGAATCACACCAGTGACCTCTTGGTGCCTGGGGTGATGCTCAACCCACTGAGCTACCCTGGCCAAGCTCAGGCCATCTTCCAGGGCTTGTCAGAGGTGACCCCAGCTCATCCAGAACGAACAGGGTGTCTGAGCGTTAACCATCTGCTTTCCGAGACTCAAAATCGCCAAGTGCCAAGTCTGAACACAGCACGAAGCAAAGACGGTGCAGCGGGCAGTGATTCCCCAAGAGGCACCGCATGGCTCCTGGGTCTGCGGTCTCAGCCTGGCCACGCTACCAAGATCCTGGTTAATCATCTGCTGAGAAGGCACAGCCCCGCAAGTCAGGTGCGAGGCCCAAGTTCAGCAAGAGGATTGATTCAGGGCCTGGCTCAGTCTAACGAATAAATTATGGGAAAGGAGAGGCCTGAGGGGCAAACCTGACCGACACCGCCGCCCACATGCTCAAGGTCGCCATCCCCAGGAGGACGTCACGGGCGATGCTGTACCTTAGGGAGGTCGTTTGCCTCTGGTTTCTTCCCCCAAATCCATCACCTGCTCTGACGACGAGGGAACACCCGAGACCCCAACGGCGGGCGGGTTCCACAGAAGACTAGCTCACGGCAAGCGCAGCCCAGATGGTCAAGGTCATGAAAAGTCACAAAAACCTGGGAAATGGTCACAGAATGGAGGAGCCATGACAACCAAAGGCACTGCAGGGTCCTGGGGGGAGCCTGGGCCTCTAGGGGTGCAGCCCTAAGAACGCTGCAGCTTTTACAGCAGGAACGCACCTGTGCAAGCATTCAGGGCAGACCCAGGACCATGCCATGCAGGGTGCCTGGGTGAGCGAGTGGTCCACGGGCATTCTCTACCTCTGCAGCCTCCGGAAGCAGACAATGACGTTTGAAAAAATAAGTTCTGCCCGGCTCAGTGGTTGACCATCGACCTATGCACCAGGAGGTCACGGTTCAATTCTGGGTCAGGGCACATGCCCAGGTTGTGGGCTCCATCCCCAGTGTGGGGTGTGCAGGAGGCAGCTGATCCATGATTCTCTCTCATCATTGATGTTTCTCTCTCTCTCCTGCTCCCTTCCTCTCTGGGGGTAAAAAAAAAGTCCGGCCAAGAGCCACGTTGAGATGAACCGGAACGCAGAGGAGCAGAGGAGCTGGAGGTGGAGGTGTGGGTCTCCGCTCTGGGTGCCTTCAGGATAAACCACTGCACACGAGCAAGTCTCCATTCCTCACCCATCCAACAGGCCTAGTACCAGTGACCTCACCGCTTGTGAGAGGAAAGGCTGCCCGGATCGGGGTCCGGCTGGGAACACGGAAACCACACCAGGGGTTTTCAGGGATAGGATTTCATAGAAGGAGCCGGTTAAACAGGCGTCGAAGGACGGAAATACCCGACGGGGGCACCGAGCTGACAGAGCGACCAGGGGAAACAGCCAGCCCCCCTCGTTCTCGGATCCTACAGGCCCGACGCTGGCACTCGCCTCCTGCCGCAGCCCTCTCGCGCCCCCTGTGGGCAGAGCCTGGGGAGGCGCGACCTGAGGAGCCCCAGGGCCCAGAGTGCCTTGTGGGGCTGGGAGGCAGCGGAAACGTCCGTTGTGAAGGGCTCTGCAGACTGTAAATGCCACCCACGGGTGCTGGCTTTTATCATGGCATCTAGTCAGCTCCCAGGCTAACCGCACGCTCCCCCACCCCTTCCTTTAAAAGACCCGGTACACAGGGCGGATCAGCCGAAGCGATTCACCTCCGGGGCTTACAGCATTTAAAGCTGTTGTTTTTTAAATATATATTTTTATTGATTTCAGAGAGGAAGGGAGAGGGAGGGAGAGACGGAAACATCAATGAGAAAGAATCACTGATCGGCTGCCTCCTGCACGCCCCACACTGGGGTTGGAGCCTGCAACCCGGACACGTGCCCTGACCGGGAATCGAACCCTGACCTCCTGGTTCCTAGGTCGATGCTCAACCACTGAGCCGCGCCGGCCGAGAACGTCTGAAGTTGTCATAAATGGAAACCGTGGCTGGGAACGGCGTTCTGTTCTGTGACTGCAGCGCGTTTCCTGCGAAGCGCACTGCTCGGGGCTCCTGAAGCTGAGGCCCCCGTCTGATTAAGTTCTGTCATAATCGGGGCTACTTTCTGAGTCAACGGGCCGGGCAAGATGGTTTTGTTTGTTTTTTTTAAACATTTAATCACCTTTATTTATTTATTTTTTGTTTGTTTTTGTTAATCCTCACCCGAGGATATTTTTCCATTGATTTTGAGAGCGTGGAAGAGAGAGGGAAAGACAGAGAGAAACATCGATGTGAAAGAAACACATCGATCGGTTGCCTCCTGCAGGAGCCCTGACCAGGGCCTGGGCCAGGGAGGAGCCTGCAACCAAGCCACATGCCCTTGACCGGAATCGAACCCGGGACCCTTTGGTCTACGGGCCGACACTCTATCCACTGAGCAAAACCGGCCAGGGCGCAAGACGGTTTTAGAGAGCGAAGAGTGTGCTGCCTGCGGATGCCACTCGCATGTGCCCAACTGTCAAGCCCCTGGGCCCGGGACGCTGCTTGGAGGGACGTTTGTGGGACAGTTTCACAGCGCTGAGGCCGCCCTGCCTTATCGCTTTAAAAGCTCAACCCGCGAACCAGGCTTTTCTCTGAAACGCGGCACCAGGAAGTACAGTTTCCCGTAAGCCGGGCGACCACAGGATGCAGAGGTGAGAGTGTGTACCCGGGTCTCAGGACGTTTCAGAGAAATTTCTAGGAAATTCCTGCAACACGTGCTTCAGTCTCACGGCCGAGCACCAGCGTAGCCTGTGCTCCGATGCGTGAAGACACGGGGCGCCCAACAGGCCGGAAGGTCCCGAGTCAGCGGCCCTGAGGCCACGAGGGCCCTCTCCTCTCTCCTCCCTGCGTGTGGGGGTCTGGTCTTCCCTCGAGACCGAGTCTGAGGGCGAATCCACACGAGAGCGTGTTCGTATGACCCAGAGCGATGAGACGGGCACCACAGAGGACAGAGCGGGCCTGTGCGGCAGGAACGGGCGGGCACGGCCGTCGGAGGGGGACAGCAGGTGCCTGTGGCGACGCCTCGAATTATGAACATTTGTCCCTCAGGCTAAATGACCGGCTGCCACAATCCATGCTCACAAAATAACTGAAAAACAAAACAGACTGCCCTGAGCTTTTTTTTTTTAAAGGATAGAGCAATCTTTTCTTTTTTCAAATATATTTTTATTAATTTCAGGGAGGAAGGAAGAGGGAGAGATAGTAACATCTATGATGAGAGAGAATCATTGATTGGCTGCCTCCTGCATGCTCCCCACTGGGGATCGAGCCCACAACCTGGGCATGTGCCCTTGACCAGAATCGAACCTGGGACCCTTGAGTCCGCAGGTCGACGCTCTATCCACTGAGCCAGACCAGCTAGGGCGCCCTGAGCTTTTTTAAAAATATATATTTTTTACTGATTTCAGAGAAAAGGGAGAGGAAGACAGAGAGACATCAAGGATGATTGGCTGCCTCCTGCACGTCCCACACTGCGGATGGAGCCCACAACCCGGACATGTGCCCTGCCCGGGAATCGAACTGTGACCTCCTGGTTCATAGGTCGATGCTCAACCACTG